GAAGAGGGGAAGAAGAGAAAAAATGGTGCGGGTAGGCTGGGGGGTGGGGCTGGAAGAGGAAGAGAGAAAAAAATGGAGGGGGAGGGTGGGGGTTCTTGAAGAAGATAAGAAAAGGTAGAGAACCAAAAGAAAAGAAAGAAAAGAGGTCAAAATCATAAAATTTAAATTTATAAAATTATAATTTGACCTCAAATCACCTGAAGGTGATTTAGAAACCGCCTATTGGACCACCGGTGAAAGAATGTTGAAAGTTCGTGTACTTTTGTGATAGAAATTAAAGTTTATATACTAAAGTGAAATAATGATGAAAGTTCGTATACCATAGGTGAAATTTATCCACCTATTATAACATATACTATCTCGGTACCAGAGTATTTGTACCACTTTCATTTTTACACACTATCCAATACACTTCTTCAATTATTTTATCTTGTAATTTGTATATTAAAAAATTATAGAAATTATATATTAATAATCTATATGTTAAGATAAATCAAACAAGATCACACATGACTATATTTAAGCTTACACATTGAGAAAATTTCATGACTCAACTCTTTTGCTAAAGATGGCGGGCATGATAATGGCTGCCCCACAGACCCCCACACTCCGCAATAATGAAAACTCGCCGCGTCGGTGCAAAGCCATTCCTTCCTCTCCTAATCCCTCGCTCCTCCTCCTCCTCCTCCATTCAAGCTCCCATGTCTGATCTCTCGTCCATGGAGCTTCCCTCCGTCAAGAGGCCAACTTCCCTCAGCAATCCCAATATTATTCTATATCTTACCCTAGCACTTATCTTTCTCACCGTCTTCCCTCTCTACTACCACCCTTTCCGCTGCACCAATCATCCTCTGGACTTCCCGGCGAAGCCGGTAGCCGAATCATCTTCCGGTCTTTCTCCGGTACCGGAGAAGTTGCTAGCAAAAGCGCAAAGCGCCAACGCTTTTGAAAGTGTTGATATTTCTTCCCCTCCCCGAGATCTGGAAAAAGGGTCTGATGAAGCAGGGGGATTCAAGAACAAGTGCGATATCTTTACCGGAGAATGGGTTCCGAACCCGGAGGCGCCGTATTACACGAACGAGACTTGCTATAGCATCCAGCAGCACCAGAATTGCATGAAATTCGGGAGGCCCGATGATGGGTACTTGAAATGGCGGTGGAGGCCGGACGGGTGCGAGCTCCCTGTTTTCGATCCTCGGGAATTCTTGGAACTCGTCAGAGGAAAATCTTTGGCGTTTGTTGGAGATTCAATTGCCAGAAATCATATGCAGTCTCTGGTTTGCCTCTTATCACTGGTTCGTATTTACTCCACTCTCTTGCAATGTTATGAAAATTGATGCATTTACTTATAATGGATTTGATTTACTTTATTTGCTTTGATTTGATAATTCTCCCTCCCTCTCTCTCTCTCTCTCTATGCAACAGATTAGATGGTAATTTGTCTGTATAGAATTACTGGAATTTATAGTGGATTAAAATTTGGGAATTATGAAATTTGCCATTTATGCTAAGTTTGTGGCTAGTTGTGGGGAGATTAGCAAGGGTTAGCCTTTAGTTACTGTATGGATCTTCTTAAGTCATATAAATGTGGTTTTGTACTTGGAGTATTAGGGAGTAGTTTTTTTTCTTTCTTTCTTGGGAATGAAAATGACAGCCTGTTCATAGCTGGAAATTGTGGACTGCAGTCAAAGCAGGATGCTCGGATTATGTGCTGGAAACAGGCCTCCATCCGTTCTAAATTTAATATGGGGGCGTAGAAGATGTTATCTTCGTCTCTGATGTGATTAGATTAGATCTGATTTTCGTCCGTCCTAAATTAAAGTTCCACATAAGCTCGGCTAACTCTATTTGATCTCCGACGGGCTCGACACTCTAATATGCCTCCTAGCACTTTCTGGGTTATTGTTTTTTTTGAATTTGTTTGTTGTTTGTTCATTTGAGATGGTTTTCATGCTACTATTGAACTGTCATAGCAACATGCTACCAAATGGCTCAAAATAAGAGATCATACATATGTGCCAAATGATTCTGTTTTTTCCCCAGATTGCTTATCCTATGGACATTTCCAACACGACAGATGACAACCGTAAGCGTCTTGTATACAAAGATTACAACTTCAACATTTCCATGTATTGGGCCCCGTATTTGGTCAAGACGGGCGTGACTTTTAATCAGCAAAACAGCAAACCGTTCGATCTGTATCTAGACGAATTCGATGAATCTTGGACAAGCAAGATTGAAGCTTTTGACTTTGTAATAATCAATGCTGGCCACTGGTTTCTCCGGCCCACTAACTTTTATCTAGACGGTCGACTCATTGGGTGCCTCTACTGCTCAGAACCCAACGTGACACACTTGACCAAAGACTTCAGCTACAGATGGGCATTCAGAACGGCATTTCGGGCAATTAACAGCTTGGAAAACTTCAAGGGTGTAACGTTCTTGAGGTCATTTGTTCCCCAACACTTCGAGCATGGTACGTTTGACCATGGTGGGGAATGTGTGAGAACAGAGCCGTTTCGCAGGAACGACACCATCTTGAAAGAATTTGAGTTGGACTTGTACGATATTCAAAGGGAAGAGTTTGACATTGCAGAGAAAGTGGGGAGGAAAAAGGGGTTGAAATACAGATTGTTTGATGTGACACATGCAATGTTGTTGAGACCGGACGGGCATCCGAATAAATATGGGCACTGGCAGAACCCGAACGTGACTGTCTTCAATGACTGTGTGCATTGGTGTTTGCCAGGACCAATCGATACCTGGAGTGATATCTTCATGGAGTTGTTGAAGAGGGAAAGTTGAAGATCATGCACTGTACATTGTAACAATGGTGAACTTTTCTTGCGCCCCCCTCATTTTCAACTGTATTTTTCGGACGGTTCTACAAAACTTTTGATGTAATGAAGTTATACAAGTACATTTTAACAAAAAAATTTGTTGTCATAATATGACAAGACCTACGGTGCCCCAATAAAAAAAATTGATAGTTACTATCCTCTAACTCTCCTAAACCCCACCCTAGCATCCCTTCCCAACAAAATGCCGATTGGTTAATTGGCGTTTTTGGGGAAGGGATGGAGATCAAGAGGATTTGGGGTGTCAGTTAGATGTAAGAACAATTAATTTTTTAATCGGAGCAATGGAGCATTGTAGTTGTCAAATTATGACAACAAAAGTTGTTTGAAGATGGGGGCATGCCTGTACGAGTATAAGTTAGAGCATCTCCAAAGGGGCTTGCTATATGTGGCTTGCTATTGCTTTTTTTAAGCAAATGAATAGTGGTATAACAAGTCACTTTTTACTCCTTTCTCCAACCATGACTTGTTATATTATACTCCCTCCGTTCCATAATGTTTACTTATTTTGATCAACGTGCAAAACTCCAAACTTTAAAAATGATTTTATTTACAATTAGTAAAGAAATACAAAATAAAAAATTTATATTTAAAAATACATTGAAAACTCTACAAAACAAGAGCTGACAAGAATATTTTATTTTATCAACTGATCAGTGAAAATATGCAAACAAATAAGAGTTACTGAGAGACTTTAATAGTAAATGGATATTTCTTTTTGGAACGGAGAGTGTAACTAACAAATATATTTTGTTCCAATAACCATTATAATACATAAAACACAATAGTTCTTGAATTGTATTTATTCTTGTAAATGTATATAAAAGTTATTTATATTCTAATAGTATGTAATTAAAAAATATAAAATAAAATAAATCAAACAACCCGTCCTATGGTAAAAATCACATTCACATCAAAAAAACAAAAAAAATGTTATATGGAGTATTTGTGGAGTATATATCATTGCAAAAGAAATTTAAATTAAATTTTGTTTAGCTATATTCTAGCATGTTTGTTATAAATAGCAAACTGTTTTCATTTTTTAGCAAGCTAGTCAAATTTTGAATAACTCTTGGAGCATGAAATTTTGTATATGCTTGTCAAATTATAACATATAGCAATTCATTTTGTTATGGTTGGAGATACTCTTATAGGCTATAATTGCACAGATAATCTTTAAGGTACGGAGTATTGGAGTAATACATTTTGTACAGTTCATTCTTCAACTCTAAAAATTGTAGAGAGAATGTTTGAAGTCTTGCACAGTCGGTCCTTTCATTAACTTTGGTGAATTCCTGTTTTTTTCATTTTCAATTATAAATACATGTGAGGAATCTTATTTTTTTGTACAATTAGATCATTTTTCATATAGGTCTATTTTTTATTTGTAATAAGTTATTCATACCTTTATTATTCCAAATTTTTTAAAAATAATAAGTTATTCCTGTTTTTATTGCTCTACTTTTTTTTTCTCGAAATATTCATTCCGTCTTAATGTTTGCTGAGATGTATTTATAATGAGTTTTCGCGAAGTTTGGAAGGACCAATGCTAACGTGACTTTTCGCGAAGTTTTTAGAGTTAGAATTACCCGTACATAATATTCCCTACGTCCCAGTGTATTTGTTCAGTTTGACTTTTTCGAATCAAATTGGACAAACTTTGAGCTTCAATTAAATAAAAACTATAATGTATTTTAACATAAAAATGACTTTATTGGATTTATCGTATTAAGAACTTTCAAAATTGTATTTCATTATGCCAATATGCAATATAAATTAAGAGTAATTGAAATTTAAAATTTGTCCAGTTTGACTCGAAAAAGTCAAATTGGACACTTACACACGAAGGTAGTACATTGATTGTGCAATTTAGCAAATACGACGAAGACGAATACGAGTGTTCAACTCTCCCACACCGCCTTTTTTTTAAAAAACAAGCAAACTGTATTAAATTTGAAGAGATACAAAGTCAGGAGGGGAAGAATCCCAATACATAATAGAAGTTTGCCCATAGACCGCAGCAGCCAGAGAGTGAGCACAAAAGTTAGAAGATCGAGGAATAAAACTAAAGGAACAATTATTAAATCCCGATGTAAGTTTCTTGCAGTTCGAACTAGTAATGCCAATATAAGAACGATCTTCCATACAAGGGTTTGCCATGTTGTGACATAAGGTTGCACAGTCAGGAAGTACCCGAACAGACGTCACCCTGTGAGACTTTAACCAAATGAGCACCTCTTTAGTAGCCATTGTCTCTGCCAATAATGGACACAAGCAGCGGGAGAGGGGTCCATTCACAGCCCCCAAGAAAGCTCCATTATGAGAGTAGAGTACAACACCAAACGTACTTGAACCAGAAGCATGTGAGAAGCTATCATCAACATAGCAGGTAGGGAAGCAGCTGAGCGAAGTTTCACCCGACTACTGACGTTGATCGAGGAGAGGAGAAGGAACTTGGGCTGACTTCCAAGCTGCTAATTTGACCCGCGCCAAGGTGCAAGTGACTCGAGGGGTTGGTAATTTTTTCTCCCAGACTACTGAAATCCCATGCATAACCCCAACAGCCAGCTCTAATTCCTCATGGTTCAATGCGCTCAACACCGATTGTAACCACTGTGGGAAATCCATTCCTAACCCATTATGCAATTCCCACACCGCCTTTAAAACAACCACTTTCATCTTAAAAAACGCCATCGGCAAGTGAGCGTGTACATTTACAGTGAGTTGATTCTACTCGGTATATGATACTCAATTATAGATTTTTTTTGAAAGCCAATTATCGAGAGTTATTCGTGAAGATATAGCAATCTGTTAGATATGTATAAGACTAGTTTTCTACCCCGTGCTTCGCACGGGCTCGGGATGTGTTCACGTGTATATTAATTAAGATTATCATAGTTAGATTTTTTTGGTAAAACTATGTAACACTTAAAAATTTAATATATGAAAGCAATATTTTAAATAGACACAATTTTTATAAATTTACACACTTTGTGGTCAGAGTATAGAACAACTTGACCAAAAATATCAAATTTTTATTAAATGATATACTAATGAAAATTGATTTAACTAATGGCAAAATAAAATAAAAATGCCAAATAAATTAAGGTAATGATAAATCATTGAAAAATACAAATGCAGTACATGGCCTATAGACATGTTATGTGTTATACTTCAATAAAAACTAATTAAATTAAATTAATTTGTTGAAATGATATATAGCAAATTAAATAATGTTACAAATAAAATATTATGAAATAAAATAAGTATACAGTTAGTAAATATATAGTTAATAAAATATAGTTATTTGGTAAAATAACAATATATATAAAATAAATGGTGGATATATATATATATATATATATATATATATATATATATATATATATATATATCTGTGTGTGTGTGTGTGTGTGTGTATGCATGTATGTATGTATGTATATGTATATATAATGTTAGTTCTTTTTCCGACTTTGCATGTTTTCTAATATTCTACATCTAAAAAATAAAATATTATGCATTTTAATTCTTTAATATGATATATGAAGTTTATAAAAAACCCAATAAAAATAAATATGCATTGATGACATCACTTGTGGTATCACATGTGGCATGGTGTGCACACGTGACGTGAAAAGTTTTATGCAAACTAAATGATCACTGAAAAAAATAATAAATAAATAATTTTTTATTAAAATACACCATATACTAAAATATACTCATACTTCGTAGTATGTAATAGGATATAAAGTTTGAAATAATTTTGTATTTAATAAATATTTATATGTGATAAAAATGTTATAATACTGCTTTGAAATTTTAATAACAATAAATATCTTTTTTGCTCAATAATAATTGTTATTTAGTGAAAAAAGTGAAGGGTTTATAAAACTATAATAAAAATAAAAGTCATTTAATGTACAAAATTGAAGGTTTTTCATGAAACTTTAATAATAATAAATATATATGTCAACGAACCAACTCAACCAAAAGCTCAAGCTTATGGTTGTAGCCTAGGAATGATTGTTATATACTCTAACACGCCCCCTCACGTGCAGGCGTGACCTCTTTGAGCCTTGCACGTGAAACATTAAATTTTTTTTAAACTAGGTTGCGGTGAGTTTCGAACTCGTGACCTCTTGGTCATCAAGACTCTGATACCATGTCAAGGAACCAATTCAACCAAAAGCTCAAGCTTGTGGTTGTGGCCCAGAAATGATTGGAGTATGTACCCAACGGCCTGTGGCCCGTTTAACACGATTGCTCGTTTGGAAGTTCTATCATGGTATCGGAGCAGGTTTTAGCTCACCTCGTTTGTCAAGGTGTCTGTCTAGACGTTCATTCCTAGCGGCCCGTTTGTCTTTAGCCCAGTTGTTTGTATGGAGTATGTACCCAACGGCCTGTGGCCCGTTTAACACGATTGCTCGTCTGGAAGTTCTATCATGGTATCAGAGCCAGTTTTAGCACACCTCGTTTGTCAAGGTGTCCGTCTAGACATTCATTCCTAGCGGCCCGTTAGTCTTTAGCCTAGTTATCCGTATGGAGGTTGTACCTAACGACATGTGGCCTGTTTAACACGATTGCTCGTCTGGAAGTCCATACCCAGCGGCTCGTGGTCCTTTAGGTGTTGGCGCTCAAAAAAAAGTCAAGGGAATGGGAGTTTATTTGCAAGTGGTCAACCAGTTAGATTCAAAAATGGCCCGGTTGTCCACTTGAGGGGAAGTGTTAAGAGTATCCCACATCGGAAAACTGTGAGGAAAATAATCGCTATATAAGCTCTTGAGTTGAACTAACTAATCGATTGGATTCAATCTTTTAATGTGGTTCAGCCCAAGTGTCTTATAGCCCAATCCAGTTATCCATACCCCATCTTAAATTTTACTCCCTCCGTCCCTAAATAAACTTCTCCTTTTGTTTTTTCTTTGTCCCCAAATAAACTTCTCTTTTCCCTTAAAAAACCCTTTTACCCCTTACTTTTTCATACCCTACCATACCTTTTTACTACTAATAATCTACATATCACATCTTACTTTTACACATCATATCAAGGGTATTTTTGGAAAGTCAACACAAAAATATCTCTCCCTTAAATCCTCAAAAAGTCAAAAAGGGAAGTTTATTTAGGAACGGAGGGAGTATCAATTTACATGCGGCATGACACACGCCAAGGTGTAATGCACACGTGACCTAAAACTTTTATACTCCCTCCGTCCCAAAATATTCACATCTGCTTTTTTAGCAGTCGCGGGAACTTTTGTTTACTTCTACATTTTCATTGGTTATTTGATAAAATAAAATATTCTTGACACCTCTTATTTCGAATAACTTTTCATGTAGGTTTTTGATATGTAAATCTTATTTTTTATTTCTATACCAATATGTAAATAAAATGAATTGAAAAAACTTGATATTTTACCTTGGAAATACAAATGTGG